AGAGACTGGGGCCAATGGTTCCAAAGGCAATAGAGTCGCAAGAAATTCAGGATGGAATTCGGGGTTTGGAGAGTTATGATCATGTTCCAGAAGAAGACGACTTAACTATATTTGAATAAATGTAGATTGTTGTACTGTACTTAAAAAAAAATAACACATCCCCTGAAAATAAGCCCTAGGGTGTCTTCTTGAGGAAAAATAAATATAAGACCCTGTCTTATTTTCGGGGAAACACGGTACTTAAGCCTTGCAGCCAGCCCTGTGTATACAAAAAGTCGGCCCTCCCTATATGTGGGTTTTGCATTCCTCAAATACTGTATTTTCAACCTGAGTTTGGATGCAGATGTGGAACTTGCTGATATACAGAGGACAGACTATATTTACTGAAAAAAAATCCACATATAAGTGGACCCTCGCAGTTCAACCCCTGTGGTTCAAGGATCAGGTGTAAATATATGTGTAAAGAAGTTGAATCTCATTCTTAAATGTAAATGAAAAACAACAAGGATACCATTTTGTATCATTATGACAGATTAAAATATTTGATACTTAATACTTGAGAATGATTAGTGAGAATGGAGAAGAAACAAGCTATGTTGAGAATATAAATCGGCACTTTTTAGGAGAGAAATGATTCCTTTCCATAAAAAATGTACATAATCTTAGACCTAGCTCTTCTAAGTTATCCTATAAATTTATATGTAAAAATACTCACCACAGCGTTATTTTTAAGTGAAAAACTGGAAATAACTTAAACATCATTCAATACAGAACACATTAAATCTATCACAATACATTTATATAAAGAAATACTATCTTGTTATTAAGAAGAATGAGATCATTATATACATTGCTAGCTTAAAGAGACATCTAAGACATGAAAACTAAGGTTGTAGAGCCATGTGGACTGCATGATGTCATTTGAACACTCACATAAAAACAACAGATGTATTACATGCTTATAAATGTGTAGAAAATACTTGGAATACATAAACTTAACACCAATTTATGAAAAATGCGATTAGTGAAGCCAGGAGCTGACTTTAGTTTTTAACTTCTGTATTATTTTTTTAGAATGAGGCTGTATTGATTTTTAAAAAATCTCTCTACAATTGGAGAAAAAAAATTCTACATTATACATACATTTATAAAGATTACTATTTTATTTTTATTTTATTTTTTTTTTATTTTTTTTTTAAAGCCAGTCAAATTTAGCAGTGGGGGGTTGAATACCAACTTTAGTGACACTAATGTGAATAAGTTCTGATAACCCACTACCATCGGACCAGCCAAGATTACTATTTTAACAAACTGCATATGTAACTGAAAGATATCTGTTAGGTAAACTACCAGGTAATATTTTAGATTTATTCTTTCAAATTGGAGTAGGTATTTAGTAGTTTGTCTAATAAAATATAGTACTAAAAACTGTTCTATTACTCATTAAACTTGCTATAAGATATTTATGTGCTAGAAAAGAGCCCCTAATACTCTATCAAACACCATTAAAAAAAATTAAGCATGTAACCTTAACATTTGTACCCCCATAACATGCTGAAATAAAAAAGAAAAAAATTAAGCACCTCATGTCTTCTACTTTGCTCTGAAGCAAGAGGAAAGAAAAGAGACAGGAAGTAGATTAGGAATATAGAAAATTCATACATTTGTAAATAAACTGCAGATTTGGAAGCATTTGGAAATTAAAGCCTAAGAAATAGACTGGGCGTAGTAGCTCACACCTGTAATCCTAGCACTCTGGGAGGCCGAGGCGGGAGGATTGCTCAACATCAGGAGTTTGAAACCAGCCTGAGCAAGAGCGAGATCCCGTCCTTACTAAAAATAGAAAGAAATTAATTGGCCAACTAATATATATAGAAAAAATTAGCCGGACATGTGGTGCATGCCTGTAGTCCCAGCTACTCAGGAGGCTGAGGCAGAAGGATTGCTTGAACCCAGGAGTTTGAGGTTGCTGTGAGCTAGGCTGACTCCACGGCACTCTAGCTGGGGCAATAGAGTGAGACTCTGTCTCAAAAAAAAAAAAAAAAAAAAAAAAAAAAAGATTTATTTCTTGCTCACATAACATCCAATGCTGGTGGCCACAATCTGTCTATCTTTGGGGGCCGACCTTCTCAAAAAAAAAAAAAAAAGTCTAAGAAATACTACACGTAGAATAAATCTTTAAATTGTTCACTAATCATTATGCTAAATTCTATCCAAGTAATGGAAGAGGCACATATTAAACAGTACTGACCAAGCGCTTCTTGCTAAATCTAAGATATTTAAATTCCAGTTAAGAGAAAACCTTCCCAGCCAAGTTTGTTAGACTACTTACTGATCTGATTCAAAGTTTCCTGAGGAATCCAACTCATGTCATTCTGACTTGACGTACCCATTTCTACTTTCTATATGGGTCTCTTGTGCTAAGACAACATAAAAATATAAAAAATGTAAAAATATATTTTAAATATATTTTAAAGTAGTTCCATTACATCAAATTTTCCCTTGCTGAAAAGCTTCTAATGTTACTATACCATTGGTAGACCAAATAAGAATGTCTATTTATATAATGATTTTCTTTCCCTTTAGGAATCAAATTTTAATCAAAGAATAAATTTATTTCTACATTCAATAAAATTCAGGATAACTGCTGATATGTTGCATGCAGGCAGTGCATTGTAAGCTAAATAGAGTTAAACAGTTGGCATAGATAAAACAAAAACATAAAATCTCATTTAAGTTAACAACCTCAATTTAATCTAAGAACCTCAAACTTTCTCCCTAGAGTATTTACAACAAAACTGCTAGAAAGTAAAAATGATTAATTTTTTTGCCTTGCTCTAAAAAACCCAAATAATAAAAAAACTTAATTATTTACATAAGTATTATATAGTCTATAAATTAGATTCTGAATACATTGAAAGATAACTAAATAATGACTTCATTCAAATGGAAAAAAAAAGATGTAGCTATACTCAATGAATTTATAGCAAAAATTTCAGCTATTATGAAAATGAGGCAATGAAATTTCAGAAATTCACATTTAAGCATTTCTTTTAAAGAAAAGTGCTGGCCAGGTGTGGTACTGGCTCATGCCTGTAATCAGGCTGAGGCAGGAAGATCACTTGAGGCCAGGAATTCAAGACCAACCTGGGCAACATAGTGAGACTCCATCTTTACAAAAAATTTTAAAAATTGGCCGGTGTGGCGGTATGCGTCAATAGTTCCAGTTACTCTGGAGACTGAGATAAGAGGATCATTTAAACATAGGAGTTGGAAGCTACAATGAGCTATGATCATGCCACTGCATTCTAGCTTGGGTGACAGAGCAAGACTTCATTTCAAAATAAATAAATATTTAAAAGTAAAAAAGAAAGTGAATATTAATAACATTTATTGTTAATTTTAATATAGATTTGACTGCCTGACTTAAGGTTTAATAAACATTTACTAAAATGACTAGCAGTTGTTTAGGGTCCAATAGATTATCCTAACATATTTGACAAAATTTGTGTTATACTTTCCCATTGAGAGGAATAGCAGAGCTATTGTTTTTGTGGGGTAAGGGAGAGAAGGAAAGAGATGGTGGAGGGAAGGAGGAAGGGGAGTAGGGACTTGATAGGGGACAACCACAGTGACAACCCAAGGTGATACCACTTTACTATGCTGACCACAAAAACAGAAGTTTGACTCATAGAGCAAATATAGCCAAATTCTTTTTCATATGAAGAGACTCATTTATGAATTAAGAATTATCCCTGTAGTTATAAGTATTAAGGCAAATATTAAAAGCTGGACTGCTTACAGATAAAATAGCATAGCATATCCATGCAAAAGTATAGTAAACAGAACAATGAAATCTTTCTGGGTTTGAGGAAAAAAAATTCTAGCATAATTTGGAGTTACAATAACAGTAAGAAGGTAAAGATCACTCTGGAGGGGTATAGACAAAGGACAATAATTGTATATGTGCATGAAAGTCTAAATGAATCCAAGTTACACTTCCAAGTTCTCATCTTCATGTTTTATTTTAAAAAGTTCCAACAAAGCTGTAAGTATAAAAACCCAACGTCAGAAGCAGCCACAAAGAAATAGATTGTGCTTAACTCAGTGTTGTAGTGACTTTTGAAGTATGACTATAAGAGGTGTTTATCTATAATTAACTTTCTAGACTCTAGGAGTTGATGGAGGCCAACAACAACCAGAAGCCCAAGACCAGCAAGGAACATATACATAAAGATTCTGGCATAAAAGAAAATATAAATTGGCTTTAATTCATAGGAAATACCACAGCTAATTACAACTATAATTCTAACACATGACATAAGCTTTCCAAATAACTTGCAGGAAAAAAAAATTTTTTCACTCAACTTAAAATTCAGGCAATTAGTTTTATAAATTTAATTTGTATTTAAGAGCAATTAGTCAATAAAAAATTCTATGATTTAAAATGAATAAAATTACATTACATTTTATGCTATATTCAAAGCTCACAGTTTAAAATAATTGTGTTAGGTTTTGTGTGCCTCAAACATTACATTATTTTGCACAATTGAAAAATTACTTCAGGTGAATTACATTTAAGTCTACTGTAAGAATGATTCATCATTCAGAAAGAACATGTTTTTCAAGATAAAAACTTCTAATTTATGTTTTCAGCAGTAATTTTAGACTTAGCTTATGCTGGTGAATAGCTTATGAGCATGGGGTAAAAAAGAATTTAGAACAGAGCAAGGACAGAAAGCCAACTACTATCTTTTAAAAAGATTTGTCAGTTTCACCTATCTTACTTGATATTAATAGTTACAAGAATCATCTAAAGTAAAAATGAATGTAGTAAGGATTTCACCAAATCATATAGTCCATTTTCACCATTCAAAAAAATTTGCTGAAATAGCAGCAAACCTTCCAGTCCTACTTTATGAGATCAAGATCTACATACTGTAAGTTTCATTGATGTTTCTCCATCTACCTCACCTGTAACTGTTTGATTGAAGACTGTAACTGTTTGATTGAAGACTGCATCTTGGAATACATTGCCCTGTTAAAAAAATTAAAATCACAAAAATCTTAAATCTTAAATACATATGTATTGAAAGTATGAAAGCTTGTAAGATTTCCTAAAACTGTTACCCTAACAGATAATACTATTACTTTCTCATCACTTAGGTCAGTAAACTCAACAGAGTCATATGTAATTACACTATTCAATGTCAGGGATTCAACATTATAATGTTATAATGTTAACATTATAATGTTTAACATTATAATGTTACTTTCATCTATAAAATAAAAACATCACCAGGCTGGGCACGGCAGCACCTGCCTATAGTCCCAGCTACTTGAGAGGCTGAGGTGGGAGAATCTCTTGAACCCAAGAGTTCAAGTCCATCCTGGGAAGCATAGTGACACCTGTCTCAGTTGTCCCCTACTTTATTTGGGGTTGAGGTGTGTGAGCAATCAGGAAAACAAAGTAAAAATGAGATAGCATTGCAGAAAGAAACAAAGATCGATCACAGAGCATCTTACATCAGCAGCTCTACCTTCTGTTATCTTCAATCCTCCAAAACAAGGAAGGAAGCATGAAAACGTACAATAGTAGTTGCAGAAGCAGATCATTTTAAGAACTGGACCCGAACAAAAGTCAAATTCATGTTCTAAATTGACAATTGGCTGGAAACCAATTTCTTTATAATTAATAGGTTGGTGATTTTCAGTATCAAAATATTTTTCTGTTGTGGTCTTGAAACAATTTTGTCAGGTCAACACAATTTTAGTTTTCAAATATATCAGAATCATTGGGACAATACATAGCTCTGTGTTCAATGCCTCACACAAATACAGTACTTTTTCAAAACTGTCAGTTATTGCTGAACTATATAATTAGTTTTACTTCAAGATATTTCAGTTTGCATTCCTCTATTGACAATTCCAGGAATCAGAATATGCTAATGAAAATAACATTCAAAATGGAACAGAAACTACATATATGCTTGTTGGATCACATTTAATTCTACATGGAAGGATGAAAACCCTTCCTGTCTACTAAGTGTTTAGGAAAAAAGGGAAAACTTAATGGCAACACAAGAAATTTAGCTTAGACATAAGTTAAACATGTTAACACTAGAGTAATGAAAAGCCTGAATTAGCTTCCAAGAGAAAATTAAATTTCCTTCTCTGAAACTTTTTTTTTTTTTTCTCTCTGAAACTTTTTGAAAAGGGAATGGTTTATCTGTGCTCTCGTCTGAAGGACACAACAATTGGCATACAGAGGTCAATTTCCAGCAGTAAATTCTAGTGGGTTTCTTTTATTTAGTCACTGATGACTGATATATCATATATATAACATACAGTTTAAAATCATAATACATCAGAGCTTATATTGGGACATTTGGTTCTCATAAACGAAAACTAAACTGTAAATCTTGCTGCTAAAACTATCTTAAAAATATCTGGTTATATCTTATCTGTGAGTGTATAAAATGATGGAAACACAGTTACAGAAAATCTTTAAAACTTACAAATATAAGCAGTAAAATGGGCAAAACAAGCAATAAAAGGAAGTACAAAGCACATTACTTAATAGATCTTAACATCTAAAGCAGCAGTAGACTCTTCTGTGTGGCTTGCTGCTCCTTTTCCTTTTAAGATCCTTTTCCTCCAAGTCACTTCCCCTCCCACACAACTGCACCTGTTTTACTACTTGTTTTTGCCCATCCTCCTCACTGGATTATAGATTTACAGAGACGTGTAATTTATCTTTGCCTCTTTGGTGCCTATCACAATTTCAACCACAAAATAGGTACTTGAATGAATAGAAAAGGCTATTTATGAAACTGTGTCAATTGTCCCCATTCATCTCTAACCTTAAAAAATAAGGTTTAGAGGCCTTACTTATATTCAAATCTTTGTAGTTCAGATTGATGACCAGACCAAAGGGTCGTCCACCCATAGGCTCCGCAAGAATGAAGGAGTACTCAAAAGTTGCTTGTCTCTGGGGTGGCACTACAGTGTTCAGAGGAAGAGCCGTGAAATTCTGGATATAAAACTGGTAGTCCTGAGGATAATGGAATGAGGCATCTAAAGATTTGACAATGCAATCTTCTGTACCCTTGTTTGTAAAACTTACCAGGAACTTCACAATGTTATTTGCTGGAAAATCTGAGAAACAAAATAGAGACAAGAAAATTTGAACACATACCAAGAGTTCAAAATAAAAAGATATTATTAATAGATTTTGACACCCTTTTCCTGCTGCATATGGACTTGGTTTCAGAATTCTTTTCAATAGAGCACTCCAGTCAGCCACTAAGTAGAAATTAATCAACTAGAGTTGTTGTATAAGCTAAAACCCTTTTGTCTATATTCTAGCATTCCAACATATGGATTTAATCAAGCGTCTCAATTTCAGATCAGATGACATTCAAATTATGTGGTCTCATATAGAGTTGTGTACTTTTAGCAGCAAGATTATCATGCAGCAGCGTTATGTGTCTTGCTGAAGTCACTTTCAACTCTAACTCAGTATGCTACCTGTGTAGAGAAATAGAGAAAAGAATGATAGAAAGAGTCCAAGAGGACCATCTGAAAACCAGTATTCGTTAGATCATAAACAATTAATCAGACAATCCATCTCCACTTTAAGCAAGTAAGCAAATGTAAATTTGAAGGTTAAGACTCAAGGAAGCAGATATAAAAGTAAATGAAGCAAAAATCATTTAATGATGCTGCCGGAGGCACGTGCAGCCGGCGGTGGGCAGAGAGATCGGGCTAGTCAGCTAGCGCGCGTGAGCGTGCTGCCGGCCGTTTTTTCCGTTGCCATCAGTGCGCAGGCGCAGTGGTGCTTAACGGCTTGGCTTGGCGCTCTCTGGTGGTTAACTTGGGGTCGGAGACTGGAAGCTGCGGTTTTTTCTTGGAGCTTGTGGCCAGACCGTGATTTCTTACCTGGATTGGGCTGGGAGGCGGGTGGAGGCGGCAAAGGTGGGGTGGGAGGGGGTAGGGGGAGCGGAGTAGCCAAGGTGTCCGGAGCCCACAGCCGGCGCCATGAAGAAGTTCTTGGCCTTCGGGAGGAAGGAGGGCAAGGGCGAGTCGTCCTCCTTCGGCAGCGTGTGGAAGACCCTGGTAGGCGCCGCGGATGAGGTTCCTCAGAAGGCCTACACGAAGACCTTGTACAACATCCACCCGGAAGATCTCAAGCCCATCCATGGGGCTGCCTGCCGGGGTGATGTGGAGAAAGTGAGGCGTTTGCTTTGGAAGAAACCCTGGATCATAAATGATAAAGATTCTATGCACAGGTAATAGGAACCGCCGGGCGGGCGGGGGCCAGGAGGGTGTGGGGGAAAGGCTGTTTCCTGGACTGGGCCTCACGGCCTCCTGTCGCCGAGGGGCCTGGGCTCTCCTCCCTCCACAGGCCCCGCAGCACTTGTGGGGGACCCTGCCCAGGCCTTCTTTATGAGCAGCAACACGAAAACAAAACTTCTCCTGGTTTCCAGTGCACTCTTCATTCCCCCTTTAGAGCTCTTTAGCAACAATTTTCAAGTGATTTAAGGAACAAAATTAAGTAAATACATAGTGTTTTATTTTTAATGTACACATTTTAATGTACACATGTTACGTACATTATAGAAAGGTACTTAAGGAGAGAAATAATTCCCATACTATATTGATTTCTGGGCAAAAAAATTCTACATAAACCAAATAAAAATATAAAGGTTTTAAAATTTTTGAGTGACACGTGCTGTGTGCCTTTTACTATTGTGATTATATTGAAACACCTTTCCAGCCGCTCACGAGTTTTCTTATGTTTCGCACGCTGTTATGGACCTTAGATGTCAACACACTGTCTTGTCCGTTAGGGAGAGTAGAGGTTTACTGCCAAACTTGCAAATGAAAACATCAAGAATGAAGAAAGGTAACATAATATTTTCCTGAAAAGGCGATATTCTTCTCCTAGCGTGGAAAGACAAGCGGGTTGTCCGAATGATATCAACGATCCGTGACACTTCTGTCTCAACAATAGGAAAAAAAATAGAAAAACGGGAGAGAATATTATAAAACCTGCCTGCATCAAGGAATGCAATGCCCACATGAAAGGCGTTGACCATGCGTATCAGTTCCTTTCGTGTTGTTCCCTTCTATGGAAAACGGTGAAATGGACAAAAAAAGTAGTGCTGTACCTTATAAACTGTGGACATTTCAATGAATTTAGAGTGTACAATGTCCTCAATCCACAAGCAAAAATGAAGTATAGTTTCTGCTATGGGTGGCGAGAGACTGGATAACGGATGACAATAATGAAGGCTCTCCGAACCAGAGACAGATCTGTCCAGCCCTTCCCGTGGGGGTGCAAGGAGAGCACCTTGTAAAGATCCACCAAGAGGTTGTCAGGTGATATGAATCAGCATGAACCTATGTGTATTCCAGCAAGTGGAAAGAAAAAATTTCCTACGAGAGCCTGCAGAGTTTGTGCTGCCCATGGAAAAAGGAGCGAATCTAGATACTTATGTAAATTTTGTTTGGTCCCTCTTCCTAGAGGAAAATGTTTTATGCAGTAGTCAAAAAAAGCACTAGGGACTTTAATTGCTTAATTAGTTGTTTAATTGTTTTTATAAATAAAAATGTTACAATTATTGAAAAACAACACCTAAAGTAAATTATGATCTGTAGTTATGATGCTTTAAATAACGTGCAGTTTGCCCGAAAATGTGCGGTTCCTAGCGTTTGTCTTAGAGATTTCTGTGTGGTCCGAAAGGTGTTAAGAAATTTGGGAATGGAGTGAGGAAAGCCTTGCCCTTCTGGATATGAAAAGGTGCTATTTTCATAGCTTGGTCACTTACTAACAGTTGAAGAGACAAATGAATGGAGGATAATAGAAAAATTCAGAAACACCAACAAATATATGTAAGAATTTAGAACTTGATAATGGCGACATTTTGTATTAGAAGGCAAAGGTGAATTATTGGTAAATGAAATGCCTCTTAACTTTTTAGAGAAACCCAGCTAGATTTTTATGTCACAAAAATAAGTTCCTGATGGAATAGAAGTCACAAATTTAAAAAATAGGAAAGGAGAAAATTACCAGAAGAAAACACAAATGCCTATTCATACAGATACATTTTTATGTTGACAGTGACCTTCCTGAGAATGACCTCACAAGCAAACATTGATTGTGAAGGTTGATTTAGTGGAAAAAAAAAATGTAAACCCTCTGTATGTCAGAAAGAAATTAACAAAATAAAAGACAACATATTAGCCACATACACACAAACAAACATGCATATATCAGCTGAAAAATGTATGTTAATTTTACATAGAATTCTTTCAAATCAATAAAAAACCTGAACCGTAATTTAAAATTGGGCAAAATACTTTTTTGTAGATCTGCAGGTGACCTGTGCATGTAGGATAAAATATTCAGTGTTACTTGTAAGAGAAGGCATTTGATTTATCCACAAAGTGTGTCATTCCATTTTACAAAAATATCCTTAGGAAATAAGAGAGATAGAACCAATTTATTTTTCTCCCCACTGTTTAAAATAGCAATGTATTAAGAAGAATACATATAATGGATTTTATATATAAATTCCAGTGCATCCAAGGGTGAAATAATATAGGACCATTGAATGTGAGCATAGATACAGATGTATGTTGACAGGTGAGAAGTATCTGGTATATAAATTGAGGAAAAAATATCAGTTTGATTATTAAAATACCAGTACACACAATCACCCTATGGTCTTGCCCTCACCAAAAGTACTTAAAAATGTGATACAATTTGTTATTTCTGGGCGTTTATATTATAAGGGAATTATTTTTCCTTTTTCTCTTCTGTGATTTGTGCAATGAGCGTGTATAAAAATTCTAGTGAAAGTTTATTATTAATGAAATGATCCCTGGGAATAGCAGAAATATGAATCTTGCACAGATAGAAATAATTTCTTCCTATTAATTTATTAATTTTTCTGTGTGTGGATTGGAATCTTTGGCCAACTTTTAGCCTCTTCAGAGGTGAAGGTAATGTTTTCATGGGGTTTTGTTAATTTTATTATGTATACATTTTATCATGGGCATATGTTTTTGTTATATATAGATTTATTACATATATATTAACTATTATATAAAAATCATGTTATTTTAGTTGTACTCCTATGAAAATGAAAAATAGCAAATAGAGATGGTTATTCCAATATTTATTTTGAAAAAAATGAGCCATACCCATTTATTTGAAACTGAGTTTGCTTTGCATTGAAGTTTTTTGAAAATCAAAGTAACAACTATTAATACTTAGTTTTAAAGACATTTCATTGTTCTTTCAGCCTTCTTTTTCCATAATACTGTTAAGAAGTGAAATTTATTTAAATGCCAAACATGTGACTAGAACTGCCACACACCTGTTGTATATACCATATTTCACTTAATGTGAGACACTATGGATTGTGTGATGGCCCATTATTTTATTTATTTATTAAGAGAATATTTAAAATGCTACCCAATATGTTTGAAATAAATCATGAATGACAAGTGGCATTCTAATGTCAGAGATGTTAAAATGTAAGAAAATGAGTATCTTAGAATCCTTGAACTATGGTGTTATCTCTAATCTTTAAAACCAACCACAAGGTAGGTATAATTGTATCATTTACTGAATTTACATGTTGCCTTTGATAAGTAGTAATGGAAATAATGATAACATCTAACAATCATTGAGCTGCTATTTGCACTAGGTAGGAACTGCTCTAAATACTTTGCATAGATTCTCATTTAAGCATCACCATGGTGTCCTGTGTGATAGCTGCTATTTTCGTCCCCATTTTATTGATGAGGAAATTGAGATATGGAAAGGCTAAGCAATAGCTAGTAAGTGACAACCTTAAAGTAGGATTCAAACCCAACTTGCCCTGAATCCAAAGGCCAAGCTCATTTTGTACCAATAGGCTGCTCTTTCATTAATTAGTGAGGAATAAGAGCTAATAAGCATTGTACTTTCTTCACAAGAACATCAGATATTTATTTTGAAGGCAGAAGTATCACATCCGATTTATTGTTTACTTTTATGTGAATTGTATGTTTTGAGATAATGCACTACAATTTCCTAACAAGTCCTCTCATTTTCATAGGACTGCCCTACATTTGGCCTCTGCCAATGGCCGTGCAGAAGTGGTAAAACTCCTGGTAGACAACCAGTGCAAACTCAACAGGCATGACAGGAAAAAGAGGACACCTCTGATAAAGGTGTGTAGCAGTCAGCTCTTTTAGCATGCGATGGATTGGATTTAAATACATACAATAAAAATGAATGTAGCTCCTTTAAATATGACTCATTGGTGAAATCTGTGGAAAGTTTATTTTGAATTCCTAGAATTGGCTTTGTTTCTTGGTCTAATACTGACAGGCCGTCCAATGCCAGGAGGAGGAATGTGTGACTGTTCTGCTGGAAGATGGTGCCGATCCAAACGTTCACGATCTCTATGGCAACACTGCTCTTCACTATGCTGCCTATCACCAGAACATAGCAATAGCAGAAAAACTGCTTTCACACGGTGCATTTATTGACCCAAAAAACAAGGTATAGATCAACTTTATTTCCAAAATATTTGAGATGCATTTGTTTTAACATTGACATATGTAACTGTCAATTTTCCATATGTGGGATCTCAAGCATTCCATGAATGAACATATTTTAAAATAACTTAATTATCTAAGATTTTACTTTAAATTTTGATACTTTTAAAGAAGCATTAGGGTGTATAGCTTTCCTTTATGCACTTTTGGTCAACATTTGTGACAACACTTAATTTGTTAAAGGTAAAACTTATTTATTCAAGAGTCGTTTTTATCCCAACCCAGGTGTTTTTTAATAATTAGTGTAAAACTACACAGGAAAGCCAAATTTGCCCTGGCAATAGGCTTTATCTTAAAACTCAAACAAAACTAAAGAATTTTATAATAAATGGAAGTCTGGCTGCTACTGATAAGTTCCTTCAAAAAGTGATTGGCATGAAAGTGATTTCTCTCTCAATGGCAAAGGTTAAGGGGAACAAATGGAAAGGGAAAAGGAGACCAGTCATAAACATGAAGGCCTGTTTGAAAATTGAGGGAAAATACCAAGAAGACTTGTGTGTGTGTGTGTGTGTGTGTGTGTGTGTGTGTGTTTTGTGAGTTTGCTTTCAGTGTATGCACTTAGACCAGGTAATGTTTGGTTTTGAGAATAATAACTCTCTTTTTAGGAAAGAGAGTTAGTGAGTTGTAAACTTGCCTAGAGATCAGTTTTAGGAGGTTACTGGGGAAGCCAGATTCGCAGTGAATAGGTGTTGATGGGGGGGAGGGGAAGCCTTCAGAAGAGGGAAGAATGAATAAGTAACTGAGTCATTGTCCTATTGTCCTTTGTCCCATTGTCCTTTCTTAAAGAAACAGCCACTTAGATAAGAGTCTACTCGAATGTCTTGATGGGAAGGTGGGACATAAGGAGATTATAAATAGCAAAATCCAGTTGCATTTTGAGTTTATTAGTCCCTACTCTACCTGTATGCAGGAAAATTAAGTGCTCTCTCTTACTCTTTCCTCTTTTTAGCCAAATCCCCAAATGATAATTGGAATTGCCCATTTGAGTGAGAAATGACACTGAAATGGTTGTCTGCTGCAATAGTTCTCAGCTAGAATTGTGCATCAGAGTGACTTGTGGAAATTAAAAAAAAAAATCTTCAGGTCTAAGCTCTCCTGTGAAGATTTTGATTTAGTAAATCTAATAAGGCCTGGACATGTATATTTAAAAATATTTCCTCAAAGCCAGGCACAGTGGCATGTGTCTGTACTCCCAGCTACATGGGAGGCTGAGGTGGGAGGATCACATGAGCCCAGAAGTTCAAGTTCAGCATGGGCTACATTGTGAGACCCTCTCTCTAACCAGGAAGGAATTGTTTTTTCCTCAAGATTCTGATACAATTTTGCTTTAAAATAACTGAATCTATAAATGTAAAGTATAAATTCCCATATTTCAAAACCTAAGAAATCTCTAGAAAAGTGGGAGTTTGATAGGTGCTACTTCCTTCAAATATCTCCTTTCCGCTAATAATATATTAGCCTGACATTTATCTTTTTTTACTGACACCTTCTGTGGCATGGAAGTTAAAAGGAATATTATTATCAATATCTGTCAGCTTACAGAATGACACTTTTTTTCTTCCAACCATTAATCATTAACTGCCATTCAAAGGGTCTTTGGACATTTCCTTATGGGCAATCTTTCAGTACGTAGAAGTGTGTACTCTTTCAGGATTTTGTATCTCTTTGCTGTCATTCAGGTGATGAGTTCAACAAATGTTTACTTACAAGCAGGATTTTCTCAATGAGCATAGTAGCAAATTCTGAACATTTTTTTCAGTTGAGACTGGATTATGGACTGAATATGTCTGTTACATTACTAGGGCTTGGGTATAATCAGGATGGCAATTTTAAACACAAACCCATAAATTTTGTTAGAATACAGATAGGAATTCTTTTAATATTTTAGTTTCAGCAGTCCTGTGAACTAATTAACCATTTGAGTAACAATCTGGGAAAATAAAATACCAATAGATTGTAAATGAATAGTTTAAAAATTTCTTGAAGTGAGTATTATGAGTCTTAGTAGCAATTTTTATTACATGCCGGGCTTGATTTTTTGGCAAAACCTATGCTACTAAAGAAAGGAAACCCTTTACCTTCCGTCTTTCCCGGAAAATAAGACAGGGTCTTATATTTATTTTTCCTCAAGAAGACACCCTAGGGCTTATTTTCAGAGGATGTGTTATTTTCCCCTCAAAGCCTCAGCTTGCAGCACACACAGAATGGCCAGGACCTGACAGGGGGAGCCAACCTTGTTGGTGGGGCTGCCTGCACCTTTCCGGTCACCTCTGGGATAGTAGCTGTCATGATGGGGCAGATGAGAAGGGCTGCTCATCTTTACTGCTCCGCGACGAAATGCATGGATTGTGCAGATATGCGGCGTAGCCGCACCCATCACTAGGTCTTATTTTCAGGGTAGGCCTTATATTGCGCAAATGCTTAGAAATCCTGCTAGGGCTTATTTTATGGGTAGGTCTTATTTTCAGGGAAACATGGTACAAGTACTTGCTTTATGCACAATCATTTGGAAACATCCATAGCAAATGTTAAAAACACAAGGGCCATAGTCTAAATGTGGCCTGTAGGTTGGTTGAGTTTGCCTCCATAAATTGAGTCAACATGTAAAATTTAGGGGACTTGCAGAAACCTGGATTTCAGGCTACTCTTAACGAATCAGATCTGGTGTCCCTGGACCCCATATTTCCATTTGGTAAGCTGTACAGAGGCTGCCCCTTTAGAGGAGGTGTATGTTCTCCAGTTTGCTCCTGTGCCTCTCTAGGTACGTCTCTTTCTCAGGTCACCTACTTTGCCTCTGTAAGTATTTGAGTGTATAATTCCTGTTTTATAGTACATTTTGATAAAGATGTCAAAGTTTATATGAGAATTTATACTTGTTCATACCACATAGTGTAGGGTATTAATATTATGTATTAATCCTTTAGTAATGGGGTTGAATATTATCATGTAGAAGTTTTCTTTAAAAACTCTTTTCTTGGCTGGGCGTGGTGGCTCACGCCTGTAACCCTAGCACTCTGGGAGGCCGAGGTGGGCGAATTGCTCGAGGTCAGGAGTTCGAAACCAGCCTGAGCAAGAGCGAGACCTCGTCTCTACTATAAATAGAAAGAAATTAATTGGCCAACTAATATATATATAAAAAAAATTAGCTGGGCATGGTGGCGCATGCCTGTAGTCCCAGCTACTCGGGAGGCTGAGGCAGCAGGATCACTTGAGCCCAGGAGTTTGAGGTTGCTGGGAGCTAGGCTGATGCCACTGCACTCACTCTACCCTGGGCATCAAAGCGAGACTCTTTCTCAAAAAAAAAAAATAAAATAAAATAAAAAATAAAAAAATAAAAACTCTTTTCTTTATGTATATCATAAATATTCACCCTTCTATTAGAATGCCTCTAAGCCATTTTAGGTTAATTGTGGTTATAGCTGAATAGGTTATGCATGTTGCAGACCACATCATATCTTTCTCCTGGGCATCGTCACATCAAAGTGCAGGTGATTTAGGGGCTCTCATTATACTAGAAATAATCCACATAGGTCAGTATTAGAACTTCAATTGTGTTCTCTTAGAGTTTTCCTTGAATAAAAAAAAAGAACTTCAATTGGTAAGCCATTGTATTTATATTTCTGATTTATAATTTTCCTAAGATAAAAAATATTTTTACATAGCAATTTAAATGGAAACCAGAATAAAAATGGATTAAAATAAAGTAGATAATACATTAGGGTCCCAGGATTATTATTATAATTGAGAATAAAATTTCAGACTGAGCTAAGATAAAAATCTATCATCTTGTCATAGGAAGAGCTGCATGGACCATTTAATAGTAAGGAATCCAAGTTGCTTTGAAGCCTCTCTCTTTTAATTCATAGCTTAGTTCTTTAGTGATCCATTTGGAGCAGGAGTGCCTGCTGTTGGCACCTGGGTTCCTCACATCATTGAGGGAGGAGAATCAAACGAGTTTGTGTCACCTGGAGGAAACCTCCAGACCTTTACTGAAAAGCTCTCACAAGTATCCCTGAGGATCTAATTCCTCACATGTTAATGTTGCCACAAAGATTGTTGTCCAATAGGGATTAGGCAAAGTTCAAGAGATTTCTTTGGTACTGGTCATATAATGCACAGTTTTGTAATATTTCTCTAAAGTGTATAGCCATAGAATCTTTCTGTTGGGGTACAGTCCTTAACATCTGGTAAAGTAGATATTCTTTGGAATCTTGTTTAAGAAACACTGTTGTGGTGATAACAATTTAGATCCCTAATTGAATAAAAATACTTAAAGCATTTATTACTATGTCTTAGGGTTTGGGGAATGTGGAAATAAAATATACAGCCTCTGCCCTCAAGAAGCTCTTGGTAGATGGGAAACAATACAATAATGGCAATGTACTGTGATAAATGCTGTGAAAGAAGCAAAGATCCTTGCAGCCCATGAATGTCTTAAGTGACTGTGGAGACGGCGGGAGTTAATGTGGACAGGCAAAGGAGAGGGGTATTTCAAAGGGTGGGAGCAGCACATGGGAAGGCACAGAGGGGTGAGCAGGAAAGGAATACCTTTGGTTACCTTATATAAGGTTTTGAATTCAATGGAGAAATATGTAATTTTGTGAATGATAAATTGTTTTGCTGCCTTACAGATTTACATCACACCACTTTTACTTGCTATAAGTGAAAAAAGAGAGGAAATGGTGGACTTTTTAGTAAAGGCTGGAGCAAACATAAATGCAGTTGATAAGTTGAAAAGGTACAGTGGTTAGTTCATTTTTTTTTCTTTTAATAAACCTGAGTGTTATTCTAGAGTGGTAACAGTCACTCAAGTCAGAAATATTATTATAAATTGATGAAAATATTAACTTACAATTATTGGGATATAGTAAAAAACACAAATCAGGTAGAAAAGGAATTATTTGGACTGGACAATATAATGAAATGAATGGTTAATTCTACATTGACAGGCAAGATATTTTTTTTCATATTATTTTATATATTATTTTTCCTTTTTATATTTTTTATTCAAAAAGATTTTTTTCTTACAGTTCTGCAGGCAAGATATTAAATTGGTAAAGAAAAACAAATTAGCCTTTATTAAACATAATTGTATTAAAGCTCCAAAGGGTGAAATTATCTCTCTGTTATTTTAGAAATGCTCTCATGCTTGCGACAGACTCTGAGTCTTCACATATAGTCAGTCTTCTTCAGCAAAGTGGTGATGTCTCTTCTGAAGTTCTCTTAGAACAGGCTGCAGAAGATCATGACATTGCTAGTGATTTTAATAGGTAAGTGTCTACATGAAAAGACTAGTTAACAGTAAATTGAGGTTTAACATAATTAGAACTATTGTATCTTATACATCAGATGACAGAGATTTCATAGTTTGATTCAGGTAATTTTGGAATGGCAGAGAGTCTACTTCATCAGCCAGAAATCAAACAAAAGACTAGACTAGTTAGAAATATCAATGGGTGCAGGATTTGTCATCTCATGACTTTTAAGACATTTATCCTTCGTAAGGATCCCAACGTTGTCCTTTTCATTTCAAGTATAACCCCTATTCATGGGGAGAAAAATCATATCACATGTTTGATTTTGCTAATTTGTTATTTGGGTCTTGAAATATCCAGTTTAATAGAAGATCTTGTACTGTTCCCTGGGGTTATGTCCTCTACCCTCCTGCTTGAATTTTTCAAGAAACTAAGTGGTTCCTTAAGTGCAAGGAAGACAGTCCTGATTGCAAGTCTAGAGAGGAATGCTGGGCATGGTGGCTCTAATTCTAGCACTTTGGGGAGGGTAAGGCAGGAGGATTACTTGAGGCGAGGTGTTTGAGACCATCCTGGACAACATAGCTAGATCCCATCTCTAAAAAAAAAAAAAAATTAGCATGATGGTGGAGTGTGCCTGTATTCCTAGCTAGTCAGGAGGATCACTTGATTCCAGAAGTTTAAGCTGCAATAAGCTACGATTGTGCCACTGCACCCCAGCCTGGTGACAGAATGAGACCATGTCTCTAAAAAAATTTATAACATCTGAATTAAGGAAGGGAATAAAAGGACATTTCAATCATTCTGTTGTTTCTGTTGCTGCATTTTTGCTATTGAAACTGGTCCTGCAGGGCTGGGTGCAGTGGCTCACACCTATAATCCTAGCCCTCTGGGAGGCTGAGGCGGAGGATTGCTTGAGCTCAAGAGTTCAAGACCAGCCCGAGCAAGAGTGAGAACCCCATCTCTACTAAATAATAGAAAAAGTTAGCTGGTTGTGGTGGGTCGCACCTGTAGTCCCAGCTTCTCAGGAGGCTAAGGCAGGAGGATAACTTAATCCCAAGAGTTTGAAGCTCCCGTAAGCTATGATTGTGCCACTGCATCTGGACTGCATCTCTTGGGTCAGAGTGCATCTCTTGCATCAGCTTGGGTGACAGAGTGAGACCCTGTCTCTAAAAAATTTTGTAAAATCTAAACAAAAAAAGGGAATAAAAGGACATTTCAATCATTCTGTTGTTTCTATGCATTCTGTTGCTGCCTTGTTGCTATTGAGACTGGTCCTGCAGTCTAGGAAGGATTGACCTTTGCTACCAGGATGCCCTCACTGATCCAGATCCTTCCGTCTTCATGGTGATGCATACTTAGACTTCAGAGTTACTTATTTTAGTTCACATTTGAATGCTTAATTGCTCAGCCATCATTCCCAAAGCACCAGTGCTCTGCTCTGGCACCCGGGCCTTGTAGCTTTAGCCACACACGTAGTGAGCGAATTGACCTTTCCCTCACACTCATAACTTCTGTGAAGCCCTGTTAGCCTAGACTTAGCCTAGACCTCTGAGTAAGGCCTCAAAGGTAATGGTAAGTTATCCTTTGAGGCCTTTCTTTATCTTTCTATAGCAAGTAGTAGTTGGGATTGTTCTGAAGTGTCAAAGAGGTTCAAATAAAATTACAGAAAGATATGAGAATTTTGTTACTTGTTTGCTACCACATCTATGCCGAGTCCCCTTTTTACCCCATGTAGCAGCTTTTCTTAGGTAGTGGAAGTTCCCATATTGTCCTTACCTAGAGTAGTGGGCACCAACTCACAGTTGGCCTGGCAAGTGACCTGTTTATTGTAATAATGAAAACATCCCAAGCCACTTGCATCTGTATGTCACATTTAAAAATTATTTTCAAATTCTACCTAACAAGAAAGCCATTCAACAGAATTCTCTGAATTTAAAGTAGAATAGTTGAATTTAACAGAACCAAGCCTCACCCATGACTCATCGGTATCCACATAGAAAAGTAGGGCTTTGTGTTTGCTTCTGCAGCACATATACTAAAATTGGAACCCTGCAGAGAAGATTAGCATGGTCTCTGCCCAAGGTAGACATGCAAATTGGTGAAGCATTCCATGTTTTGTGCAGTCCCTGAAACATCATTTACCCATTTGCTGACTAGCTGTAAGGGAACACAGTGTGTCAAGGCAAAACATGTGTCACCCCAATATTAAAATTGTGTTGTGACTTTCCGTACAGAAATATTTCCACACTGTGATCTATGAAATGACGGTGGAGCTCAGTTATGTGGCATGTTGTGTGCAAGTATGTTGTTAGTACTTATCTCAGAAATGAGAAAATGTCAACTTGTATCTCCTTTGTTCAACTTAAATAAAAGTAGGATTTTACCTTCCACATCAGTTGGAGATGAGCATGGAGATTAAGTATCATTCTAACAAAGATCTGCTGGTTTAGAGTAGGTAGAGGAGGAAGAGTAATAGTAATAGTAATAGTCCAAGCTAGGTTTTGACATCCATTAATTTTCTGCCCTTGCTGTGATTGATTAGCTCAGTAATAGTGGACAATTATGTTATCTAATTTAATGAAGTAATGTTTATAAATAAATTTTATTAAAATTATAAAATAGCTGAGATGTCCTGAATTATAAGCCACAAAAATAGAACAACTAATAACCCAAATTAGGACTTAATAACATTTTCTGAAAACTGCAACACTTGAATATTAGAACCTATGGAAAAATATAATTGGGTTTTGTTTGGGATTCCAAAATTATTTCAGCCATGAAGTTCAAAGACAAATTATTCCATTGATTCCCTATCTCTCTGAGCATTGTAAAAATGTTATTTCATTAAATGTTGTTTAAGAACCTAGTGAGCTAAGGCAGTAAAATCTTTATTTTTAGAATACAATGAGCCTGAGAGAAGCAACTTGTCCAAGAACAAATAGCTGTTGCTTACAGAGCTAGGACTTCTTCTGAGTTCAGGACACTTTCCATCATGTCAAGGGACCTCTAGTTAATTGACTGATCTATACTGCCCTCCCTTCATGAGGACTTTACCTTACTTTTCTTCTTTAATTAGAAGCTAATAAAAAGTTTGTCGAGCTTACGAATTTGAAGTGTATGGGATGATTAAAGTTCTGTTATTAGCTCTGATATTGTCTGAAATATTCTTAACAACTTTTTTTGGTAAATGTTTTTCATGTCATTATTAAAATAGTAATTTTATTTATTATGTTGTTTACACATAGCATTCCCCAGCAAACTTCGGAACATGAAGAAGAAAACATACTGGAAAATTCTTCTCAAAATAGTGATCCAGGTAAGCCTTCTGACAGTGAATGGTGGTCCTAGGGTAGATGCAAAAGTAAGAGTAATGAAGTTTTGAGCACGATAGAGCAGTTAAAAAAATCAGTGTGTATTTGCATGTATATGTTTTCTTGATTTTTTTTTTAGTAGTCTATAATTCAGAAGGATTTTAAGAAGTTATTTGTAGGTTATTTATAATCTCAAATAGTATTGTCTGAAAATAACACATATATTTAATTATTCATGTATTAATTAAATTAATTAAATTCATGTATTTAATTATTTTTATTCCTGAAATCTTTTTTGACATTTTTATACAAATAAGAAAAAAGACTTTTTTTGTGTGTGAGAGACAATAAGAAGGCTTTAATGCCTCATACTTCATCTATGCCCCAACTGTCATGGTAGTAAGACACAGTCTGCCATATTATTTATAATGATCAATTACCACAGAACACAACAAAATTTAGCATATCACTGTTCATACTACATCCCTCATCAAAAAAAGTAAATAAATACCACACGAAATATCAACTTACCCCAAATAAAAGCAATAGTAACCTAGGGATTCTACTGTACTATTACTACACTAATCCAGGATATTTTAATCCTCTTCCTATCTATTTTTGTTTTCTTTTGAGACAGAGTCTCACTCTGTTGCCCAGTCTAGAGTGCCATGGCATCAGCCTAGTCACAGCAACCTCAAATTCCTGGGCTCAAGCAATCCTACTGCCTCTGCCTCCCGAGTAGCTTGGACTACAGACATGCGCCACCATGCCCAGCTAATTTTTTCTATATATTTTTAGTTGTCCTATTAATTTCATTATATTTTTAGTACAGACGGGGTCTCGCTCTTGCCCAGGCTGGTTTCTAATTCCTGACCTTGAGTGATCCTCCCGCCTTGGCCTCCCAGAATGCTAGGATTACAGGTGTGAGCTACTTGCAGCTGGCCACTTCCTACCTATTTTCAAAATATCCTCAGGGAGTTCTGGATACATTACAAACATTGTTGCATTAGATTCCTCTTATTGAGGTAGTTCAAAGTTTAAACACAGCAGATTTACCTATTTTTCTACACTACCATGAAAGGCCTCCAAGCTAAATCCTCATCCCCATTTTCAGACTATGATCATTTTTTCCCTCAGAACAAACTAACCTAACAACTGGAAACACAAGAGATGAAAAGTCACATAAAAATTTAAAAAGCAAAACAATCTGTATCATCATGCAAAGCATGTGGCAAACTGTTTGAAGCTGCCTCACACGTTGGCACACTTTGAGGCTGCCGTCGTTGCCCTCTCTCTCAGGTCAGCTTCAGTTGTGCAGGCATAGTGGCTGACACCTGTTCCAGGCAGGCCAAGGAGACCTGAGGGATGTCCGCTGGCTTTTTGTGCTGCACACTGATGTCCTCCAGCACCTGCTGCCAAGGCAGCTTTATCAAGTACGTCTGGACCAGCACATCTTTCCACTGTAATTCATTCCTTAGTTCTAAGACATCCTCCTTGATAATTTGTTCTGTACAGATAACTGCAATCTTTTGTAGAAAAAAAACATTCTGTCTGCCTTGCAATATCTAGAAATTTCTGGATACACTGATCAACACCAGTTCGAATTTCTTCATGATCAGTGCCATTGATGCAGTGCTGACTCACCAGAGAAGCAAAACAAGCCTCACTCAAAAGATGACTTCAACTCGTCCATCATCAAAGTACTGTTAGAAGGTTTCGCAGCATGCCTGGCGCTGCCCAAAGAAGCAAATCCTGGCCTGAGAGTCCCGGCAGAGGTGGTGGAGGCCCTGATGGCTGCCCAGAGAACATATTGGCTAGTAGAGCTGTTGTGTCCAAAATCAGCTCCTGCCTTTAATAGCACTGCCTATTAGATGTATGGAGGCCAGGCTGATGCTGTTACAATGCCCTTCAGTCAGAGCTGCTTTGCTGGGGCTGGCTGCTAGGAGATAGAGCTGAGCCATGGCAAGACATGCTCCACATCCTGGAGATACTGCTTAGGTCTGTGGAATTGAGAGCTTTGCGATAGCAGCCATTAGACCACCCTTCCAAAAGCAGCTGCTCTGGGGCTCCTTGTACTCTTGTACTTCTTTTTGGATATTTTTTTTCTTGGAGAACAATGCCTGGAGCAGAGGTTGGGCAAGAATCCCTCCTTCTGAAGAAGAAATAAGTTGCTTTTAGATTTTGCAACTCTTATGGTTTTAGGGATGCTCTTGCTATCTTTGTGCTTGTTCATTTTTCACTCCACACTTTACATCAGGCTTTTCCAGAACACTATATAACCTATATGGTCAGGGGTTATAACACATGTGGACACTGCTTCTCAACCAGAAGGGACCAAGGGACCAACAGCTCATAGAACCTTCCAAAAGACAGTTAACATGGAGGCTTCTGGAGGGGCCTTTGCCTTGGGCTTCTGTGTGGGTCACTGTGGACTACTGACCTATGCCTATGGCTTTCTAAAACTTAGCACTACTTCCTGGAGCTGTATCCCTGGTCCCTCTCAACCCAAAGCTGCTATATTCAAGTCCTGGGTTGATCCAAAGCCCCCTGATAGACGTCTTGCCCCAGAGACAGTGGTGGCCGCTGCGTTGGGGCCCTGGGTTGCTCCGAAGCCTCCTGGTGCACGTCTTGCTGCAGAGACAGCAGCAGTGGCTGCTGCATTGGAGCCCTGGGTTGATAGGAAGCCCACTCGTGTACGTCTTGCCCCAGAGACAGATGCAGTGGCTGCTGTCTTTGAGCCCTGGGTTGCCTCTCTTGATAATTCTGAGGCTGCTGGTGCTGCTTCAAATGATAGTGCCAATCATTCTGCTGCTGTCCTTGCAATAGTGAATAATGACGACGTTCTTTCTCCTGTTATTCCTGCTGCTTTCTCATTCCATATTCATTATGAGCATAATGTGAATAAAAAAATCTTGCATGCTGGCTTTCTCTGGTCTCAGTCCTTTTCCTGACAATATAAGGCAAGGAAGATGTAGGAGGAAGAAAGTATGTTATTGAGCTATAGCTTAGAAAAGGATGGGCAGGAGAATGCCCACTTTCTGTGTCACCTTGATTCTCCAAAACACCACCTGGTTGCTTTTTAGTGCCTTGGCCCAGATAGGAGCAATAGGAATCCGCTCATTGACTGGGAACCCCCTGCTTCTCCAGAGAGGAGCAACTAGCTCTACCCATCAGAACCTTCTGGGCACAGGAGAGGCTCTGCTTGCTGTCATAGTTGGGAGCTGCAGCTTGGGTATCCTGGAGGCTTGAAAGTGGATGGGCTTGGCCTTGGAAATTTTGTTGTTTCCAAAACTGAAATAGTCTCTGTCTCTCCTCAGCTGGAAGTCTGGCTCTATTATTCTGGAACCAGTTGTCAGTGATGTTCACTTGACAATGGAAGTCTTTGGCCAAATCATCTTTGGTTGTAAAATCAGGATAAGGGTATTGTGTAAATTTTTCCTTAAGTTTTTGCAGTTGTTCCGTAGTAAATTTATGTTGTTGTTTTGTTTTTCTTTTTTTCTTTCCTCCCATTTCTTCCTTATGACCATTCTCTTCATCTGAAAAACTGTGAGAAGCCATGTGGACTCTCTGGGTCAGGGTCTCTCCAACTTCATCCAAGATGACAAATTCTAGAGCAGAATTACTGGTACTTAAATATACTCACAAGTGCCACCCTAATCACACCTCTCCTTAACCCTAGTTGAGACTTTTTGGATTCATTTATAGAACCTACCTTTAAAAATCCTATCTACCATTCATTTAGCATCCACAACCTCTAATGCTATCCCCATTTTAGAGCTGAGGACCGTTAGGGCAGAATCAAGAAAAAAGATTTTTAAGATAGCACATTCCATGTTTCCTCTACATCAGATTATAATGAGTTAGACTTGTCATAAAAATAGATCTTCTATTTAATTTTTATAATAAATTTTTTGCATTTAGTGAATATTAATTATAGTTGACCTTGAACCACATGAGGGGTAGGGGAGCCAATCCTCCTTTCAGTCGAAAATCTGAATATAACTTTTTGCTTTCCAAGAATTTACTAATAGCCTACTGTGGACTGGAAGCCTGATAACATAAACAGCCAGTTATAATAACATGTAGTTTGTATATCATATCTATTATATATTGTATTCTTACAATGAAGTAAGCTAGTAAACAGCTACTATGAAGAAAATCATAGGTGAGAAAAAATACATTTACTATTCATGAAGTAGAAGTGGATCATCATAAAGATCTTCATTCTTCTTGTCTTCACATTGCCTAGGCTGATGAAGAGGAGGAATAGGAGAGGTTGGTCCAGCTGTCTCTGGGTGACAGAGCAGAAGAAAATCTGCATATAAGTAGACCCCTGCAGTTCAAACCTCTGTTGACAAAGGGATTACATAGTGATTTGTGTCAGAAAGAAAGTAATTATTTTTAAACCTGAGAACTCAAAAATACCTTTCTGATAACATAAACAAATGGCAGTAATAACTGCAAAATGTAGCCAGTGTGCATGAATGCTAATAGGAGTATACTATTTTATTTATTTTTGGACACAAGGTTTCTCACTCTGTTGTCCTGGCTAGAGTCCAGAGGCGAGAGTGCAGTAGCATCTTCACAGCTTACTGTGATCTCAAACTCCTGGGCTCAAGTGATCCTCCTGCCTCAGCCTTGTGAGTAGCTGGGACTACAGGTGCATGCCACCATGCCCGGTTAATTCTTTACTTTTTTTCTGTGCACAGGGGTTTCTAGGCACAGGGATTTCACTATGTTGCTCAGGCTGGTCTCAAACTTCTGGCCTCAAGCAATCCTCCTGCCTTTGCCTCTCAAAGTGCTAGGATTACAAGCATCATGAGCCACCATGCCCAGCCAGTAGATTATTTTTTAAAGGTACCTATTGAGTACAGAAGTCAGAAAAGCAGTTCCTTGTTGAGAACAACAGATTATGTTACCCATTCTGACACCAATACAGTCTCACTATTATTGACTTCATTCCCCTTAGGTTGAAACCCAATGAGATATATTTACTTCACTAGAACAAGATGTGTTCTATCTGCTGGATAGTTGTCATGATCACAGTGATCTTGTGTCCATTAGACAAAAGATTTTCATAAGAAATATTCCAATAGCACAACTCTGGGCCTAACCAATTATAAGAAAAGTAGAAAAATGTTTCACAATAATAAAAATGCTACTGTGCTACCTAGATAGAACACCTACTTCATAGTACAATGTGAACTGTATGAGGCCACCTTTAATTTAGTGTGTATTTCTCAAAGAACTTCCATAAGTTAGGTATTGCAAGTTGCACGAGAGAAAGATGGAGGAGACATATTTTTAGTCTTTAAGGTGCTTGTAATAAAATAGACCTGTTCCTATTTAATTTCTGTGTTTCTTCAACAGAATTGTCAAACCATTTTTATTCATTTTATTCACTTGCCCACCTCACAAATAACTATCAAATGTCTTTGAGGTGATAAACATTGTTCCAATGTAGCTGTGAACACACACATTTTAAAAATACAGTCAGGAGCTTATTGTTTTGATTGTCATTTTTATTATTTACTACTTTATTCAGTGCTTACTGTGTCCCAGATGCCCTCTGGGAGCTTATTAATATAATCATCATTTACTATGTACTTATTATGTTAAACATGTATCAGACACTTTAAGTCAATGGTACAGAATTAAAGCTTTAAAACAGTGAATAGGATTTAAGGTAAGCAAGGCAGAGTGAGCAGAAGTTTGCCAGGTAAAGAGGCAGAAAGTTGGTGCTTGGCAGAAGGAACATCTAAGAGGATTACATGTTAGGCCCAAGAATAGCAAGTGCAAAAGCTGAGATGCATGAGTCAACTTTGCAGAGTTCGTGAGCAGTTCCATTTTGCTGGTGTAAAAGGTGTGGAATGAGAGTGATTGGGAGCGAGGGGAATACCTAGGTAAGGCAATCTTATGGAAGACTTGTTAATACTATAGAAATGGGTAGATCTTAGCCTGTAGGCCATGGGAAATTTCTCAGAATACTTCTGGCTGCAAATAATAGGTAACCTAACAGTGGCTAAAACAATAGGAACCAGAGTTGTTGGAGTGGTTCAGTGATAGCATCAGGATCCCACTGGTTGTCCCTCTTCCAGCTGTGCTGTTGGCAGTGTTTTGTTCTTGTCTCGTTTCATGGTTGGCTAATTAGCGACATTTCTAAACATCCTGTTTTCATGACACAATATCTACAGGCCAGAAGGGCAGGTTTTCTTCACAAGATTGATATGACTAGGGAGAAAACTCAGAAGCTTGCAGTGGATTCCCATAACATTTTATCAGCTGGGTTACACGACATGCTCATTGCTAAACCAGTTACTGGAAACACAGATTTAATTACTGTGATTGGCTTAGAATAATCGTTTCCCTTTTTGGATCTGGGAGGGGTATTAAGATAATAAAAATTCAAATAGAATTGTGTGTCTCCAGCACGAAAGAACCAGGAATGGCTATATTGGGTGGGAGCCAGCAAACTTTGCTTCAGGGATTCATTGGAGAATTTTGAGCAGGGGAGTCACAAGATTAGAGTTGAGTATGAGGGCATTCTGGTTCTGGTCTAAAGCAGGGATGGGCAAGCTTTTTCTGTAAAGGGCCAGGTAGTAAATCTTTTAGGCCAGGTGGTCTCAGGCCATGTGGTCCCAACCCTGCCATTATAGTGTAAAAGCAGTCATCGATAAGAGGTAAACAAATAGGCATGACTGTGCTCCAATAAAACTTCGTTAAAATAACCATATGGCAGGCTAGATGTGGTCTGTGGCCTATAGTTTGCTGACCACTGATGTAGAAGGTAGGTGGAAAGGTACATCTAAAGAGACTGGGAGATGAAGCTTTTGCAATAGTGAAAGCTATAGTTTACTTGTCACACAAAGTGTGGACTAATATGAATCTAGTTATTTCCCATCCATGGTGAAGGTAAATAGTTAGCAAGTAAAATATATTTACCTTAAAATGTTGATATTTTTTCTCGGCATTATATGCTTTTCATTTGTTTGCTTATTTTTTTTTTCATTTAAGAAATAACAATAATAGTTGGTGGGGTTTTTTTCCCTTGTGAAAATCATCAGTCAAGAGCCCATATTTAATCTGGAAATATAAACATGGTGGTAGAAATATAAAGTAGAGACAGAAGAGAGGTATAGTTCATATGATTTAGTGGTTATTGAAAACTAAAATTTAAGGGCAGAGAGAAATCTCAGATGACTCACAGGTTTCCAGGTTGTGCAGTAACTTTTAAGTTGGGCAGGAGGAAGGAGTAGCAAATTGTCAGGTGTCTAGAGAAAAGCATCAGGTCAATAGGTAAGACTAACTTTTTTCTGTATATGTTGAGTTTAATGAGATATTCATGTAGGATATTTTCAGTTGGTAATTGGATGACAGGCATTTCTACCAGGAGGTGGAACACTAAGATTGGAGTCGCAGACTTGGAATAATGGTAATGTAATTACCAAAGTCATAGATCTGAGTGAACTTCTCCTCGATAGGGAAGATGTAGAATGAGAAGAATGCCACAAAACCCTTGGCACATCCACATTTCCCAAAGGAAAAGGAGTCAGTAAAGAAGACTGAGCAGTGGGTAGAGCAATGTAGGAGAGGAATCAGAGGAAGTTATGTTGTAAAGATTTTTTTAAAACATGAGAATTTCAAGCAGGAGACTATAAATTCTGACAAGTAAGATTACTAAAAAGTGAGTTGGGGCCGGGCGCGGTGGCTCATGCCTGTAATCCTAGCTCTCTGGGAGGCCGAGGCGGGCGGATTGCTCGAGGTCAGGAGTTCGAAACCAGCCTGAGCAAGAGTGAGACCCCGTCTCTACTATAAATAGAAAGAAATTAATTGGCCAACTAATATATATACAAAAAATTAGCCGAGCATGGTGGCGAATGCCTGTAGTCCCAGCTACTTGGGAGGCTGAGGCAGGAGGATTGCTTGAGCCCATGAGTTTGAGGTTGCTGTGAGCTAGGCTGATGCCACGGCACTCACTCTAGCCTGGGCAACAAAGTGAGACTCTGTCTCAAAAAAAAAAAAAAAAAAAAAAAAAAGTGAGTTGGATTGAGCTTCTCATGTGTGGTGGTTCTCTTTTCAAAACAACAATTTTAAAGTTGTATGGTCTACTTTGTACGTTATTGGTACTTGTGGTGTCCAGATATGAAATAATACATCTTGTAAGATGCTACCTAAAAGTTTTGTAACTGCAGCAGCTATCCACATAGGGTCAGGAAAATTGTCTAGACTGGTGAGTCCCATGTGCCAATATTTTTCGCAAATTGTTAAAACCTGAAGATCACTTGTAAAGGGAAGTATTGTCTTTCTTATCTGGTTCTTGTGGAAATACTTGCTTTCTATCCTTGATAAGCTCTTGTGCACGCATTCTGAAACAAAAACCTGGCAGCAACACTGGAAGCCACCCTGAGACACACAATGCCCTGCCTTTGACGTGGAATCATAACACAGCTGTGTTTTTGACAGCGTTTCAAGTTTTTGTCAGCAATTAATTAAAGACCTGCAATTTGGAGAATCCGACATCTTTTAAATACTTTATTGCAGAAAACTGATAGAATATATGGAGAAAACTATAAGGGGATATGCTGAATATACTGGTTCTCAGTGTTTGGGGAATTCTGGTAACTTCAGTAGAAAAGTCAGTACCTGAATCTTTTCATTAGTGCAGTTCTCTTTCCATTTGCCTTCTTCTGATATCTCTGCTTTTGCTGCTTTCTTTTTAATTTCATCTCTAACAAAAATAGTGTGAGAACATATTGCTAATGTATGTATGTCTGACAAATATTTATTATTTCCTTTGAAGACAATTGGCTACCTGTCCTGAAGTATATCTGGTATTCTCTTAGATTCTAATGGCAAATGTCTTTATATCTGTACCACAATGACAGTGCCACTGATGATGGTCTGCCAAGATATTAAGTGTCTTCTGGGTTGTCAAATACAATGTGTTTTAGCTGATATAGTTGTCATGTGAAGTGCTTTTCTGGTATTATTTTTGTTCAGAAGTTGGTAATCTGTAATTTAACTAGAATATTTGGAGGCTTGGATTACCACACTTTTAACCATCTATCTATATCTATCTATCGCCATATCTATTTGTATCTATCTATCTATCTATATGATAAACTCCCATTATACTCATAACTTAGAGGTCCTATTGGTCCTTAATGGTCACAGCCATCTGTCTCGGAGCAGTGTATAACTCATCCTATGCTTCGGATGCAACTATATGCACTTTTTGACTTGTTCTGTCAAGAGCCTCCTTTAGTAGGTGAACAGTGTTTTTAGTTTCAAAAGAAATGAACAGAAAAATTAGAAACAAATAAGAGGAACTCTGTGATCAGCAGTACAGTGATATAGTATATCCAATGATTTTGTGTGATCATAGTGCACTGCAGGGTTGAAGTGTCAGCCTCAAGCAGTCCTTTCACCTCAGCCTTTTAATTACTTTGGGATTATAGGCCACTGTGCCATCTTAGGCTTTTAATATTCCATAATTTCATATTATTGATTTAAAATACATTATATTTTTTTCTTTAATAGAGAATGAGATCACCGAAGACCCTGTGTTCAGGTAGGATTTTACATATTTTTAAAAATTGTGTGTTCACTAGGGGAATACAAAGCAAAGAAACTAATATTTGATGAGTGTTCTGCTGTGGGCTAGAAGCCATATCATGTACTTAACATTGATCATCTGATATAGTCATCCCAAATGCTTTGCAAAGGGCTTGTGCTGTTACTGTTTAGGAATTAGGCTACTGTGGTTCTGAGGTTGACTAATTGTCCCATGATCCCATAGTTAGCAAGTAGCTGACCCATGATTTGACAGTAAGCTTACCTGGCTCCCAAATCCCTTCTCTTTCCCCTGAGCATATGATAGAGACCTGTGCAATACTGGGATCCAGGTACAGGTCCAACTGAGGTCAATGCAGAAAGTCAGATTTAGTTATATGTTAACTCTCCTCAAAAGTGTTCCTTAGAAGCCTGGTTAGTCCAAGAGCTTGTCCTGATATGTTCAACAATTGCAGTGGTCTTTATTTTTACCTTCAAAAATTTGAGGGCAGATCTCACTTTGCTGTGGCCACAGGACCATAGGTTTAACATAAGCAAGACCAGGCAGGTCCTAGAGAGGAATTAAGTAAGTGAAGGATATCTACATATAGGCCATGTTTTGTTAATTATAGTTAGCATCTATTTAGAGGATTTTTATGATTCATCTTTGTACTTACTGACTTCTCAGGAAATAGACAGTAAGACTATCCTTGGCTACTGCACATGCCTAATTCATGAAGATTTTTCTTTTTTTCTAGCACCTATATTTTTCTTTTTTCTTCTGTGACTTTCTCTAATCATGTCTTGATTTTGTTTTCTTTCTTCTCTGCCTTTGTTGGTATTTCTTTTGTTCTATTTTTTTCCATTTCTGCCAGCCAAGTATTCTCCATTTTTCTATAGAGACAATCCAAAGCACATAGAATTTCAGGAATTTTAAAGAATCATTCAGACCAAGCAAAACATTCTCTAGGAATTCAACCTGTGTTTAACATCCTGACCTAGTGGTTGCTCAGGTGGAGAACCTGAAAGTCAAAGAGATTAAAGTGACTCATTTGGAGATAGTGAGTGTTAGAAATGAGGTGTGAACTCAGGTTTCTTAATTGAAAGTCCAGTACTCTTCCTTGTTTATCATCCTGTAGGTGAGTGTTTTAATAATAGGGGGAGTGGGTCTAGTGAAGCCAATGGAAAAGAATAAGAATGGGATTAGTCGATGAACTCAGTGGAAGTGGATTTGAATGGAACACCAAGTTTGAAGAGAAACAACACTGGGTTATATAGGAATAAGCATTTTAGAAAAGAAATTGTAATATTGGAGTATCTGACAAGTTTTATAAAGACTGAATCATAGGAATGAAGGACACAGGATGTCAGGAGTTATCTAGAAGAGCATATTAAAATAGAGGGCTCAAAGGAAGTCCTGAACAGCTTGCTGGGTTTTTTTGTTTGTTTAATTGGAGGAACTTACAGATTTGGAGGTTGCTATTGAAAGATGTTTGAAGAATTTTGGAAGAATCTGTAGAGCAGATCAGAATGTGGTATCATCTACTTCCACCCCAAGTTACAGAGGACTGGCCTAGAGCCCCTTGAGTACTAGGGTCGGGAGGTTTCTGAAAGACATAGATGTGTGTCCAGGTCTGGTGTCTCCTCTGCCTCTTTTCCCAATTCACTGATGTCCTTCTTCTGTACATGTAGGGAAGTCAGGGGTAGGAATGGTTGGGAAATCACTCATGGAACTTCATTTGGGCCGTTTGTAACATGCCTATGCTGGGAGAATGTGACTGAGACTCCCTTTAACTTCTTTCTAGGAGCAGGGTAATAGAGATCTCCTGCTTTTGGTCATTTGAGCCCATCTTTTTAGGAATCTCTGTGTTTTCTTAGGCTAAATGTTTAGAGGTTGAAGACTGCCATGGAGCCCTGCAGAAGTGGGAGGGATCTTGAAGTGGGAGTCCATAAGAAGGAAGATGTTTAGATAGTACTTTGGGAAATAGAAGTACAACTACCAGGATTCTGTTTTTCCGGGAGTCTTTCTGCTTGAGTATCTGAGTGCCTATGAAGGTTTTTTTTTTTTTTTTTTGAGACAGAGTTTCGCTTTGTTGCCTAGGCTAGAGTGAGTGCCGTGGCATCAGCCTAGCTCACAGCAACCTCAAACTCCTGGGCTCAAGCTATCCTTCTGTCTCAGCCTCCCAAGTAGCTGGGACTACAGGCATGCGCCACCATGCCCAGCTAATTTTTTCTATATATATTAGTTGGCCAATTAGTTTCTTTCTATTTATAGTAGAGACGGGGTCTCGCTCTTGCTCAGGCTGGTTTTGAACTCCCGACCTTGAGCAATCCGCCCGCCTCGGCCTCCCAGAGAGCTAGGATTACAGGCGTGAGCCACCGTGCCCGGCCCCTATGAAGGTTTTTAAAGGGCTTGTTGGTTTATGTGGACCTGAATAAGACAGGACCTATACAGCGGAAATAATTGGATTTTATAATTTTAAATTTTTTACTCTTTTGGGGAAGAGTGTTCCTAATAACAACATATGCATTTACTGTTTTTTTCTTTTTCCTTGTTTCCCTATACTGAGTATCAGTGTTTACGCATTTGTTTTGACTTTTGTGCATTTAACTTCCAAAGATTTCAAATGTTTTGGGGTACTCCTTGTGCTGTTTGAGGGTAAAGTGAAGCAATGGGGCCTTCAGAAAGGGTTTCCATGCTGAAGGTCCAAGACTGCCAATCTTGAGTAATACAGATTAGTCTTTGAACCAGAGGTAGATAATGGAGAAGGAGTGGTGTTATCTTTGTACCTTATTTCAGGTTATCAGATTTGTTCCAGTTCAGGTAACATGAGTTATGTCAGCCATTAACTGGGTAGGCTATTTGTGAAGACATATTATTCTCAGGCTCTGTCCATGTATTAGCTGTCACTAATTGTTGTGGAACTAGAAGTAAGTCTTCATTGAGTATTTCCTAGATTAGGAGAGGTGGAGAGAGAAACAGGTAAGTAAAGTTTTTCTTAAATCAGAGACCAAATATTACTTCTATCAAGAAACAGCATTTAATATAGTGGTAGGTGACCTTTCACCTGATTCTTGTGTTTTATTTGGAAGTGGGTTCCCAGGTAAGAACTAGCTAATGTTTTCTTTTAAGGAAATGACATGGCTTATTTCTGTTGTTTATTTTTGCTGTAAAGGATTTCCATCAAACCGGGTATTAATGATTTTTGGCTTGAGTCATTTGTTGGACACTTCGATGATGATACCAAGGTAAAGTGGTCTCTTAAGAAATTAATTTTTTGTACTCTGGATCTAGTTTTCTATAGTGTTTGCTCATAATATTTAGCAGTGGTCTACCTATCATGATTTTATCTTTGTATTAGAAAGTTGTTCAGAGAACACCATTTGATAGAAATAGGACCCATTGAATTTTGTTCTTTAAATTTTTACTTTGGTAAATAAGAAAGGATTGATAAATACTTTTGAGGGGGTGGGGCTGGATTAAAAAATGAATGATCCAAGAAATACAGAGTGACCGGGAAATTATATTAGGTAAAGTTTTCCCACAGTAGAGGAAATATGAAATTTGGTCCAGGTTTATTTGCATATGTGTCCTTACTGTTACTTTTAGGTCATACCGACATGACTCTTACAATACTTATGTCTGAATTAATCTTTAATGCATCCAGTTGCTTATTACAATGATCATGGAATCTCCCTGATGCCTTTTATTTTCAAAACTGTATAGCACATAGCATAGAGTTCCTCTTTTTTCTCTTAAACACATGGTATTTTGGTATCATATAGTTTTTAGGAGAGATCTTTTTCTCTATTTATATCCTTAGTGCTCTATTTAGACTGAAATAGTATTAGAAGTAGTGGAACTTTAGCTAGGCATGGTGACATGAGCCTATTGTCCCAGCCACTTGGGAGGCTGTGGTGAGGATTTCCTGAATCCAGGAAGCTCAAGATGATCTGGGCATCATGGTGAGACTATCCCTAATTAGAAAAAAAAAAGAATTTGTGGACATTTAGAAATTTGAATTCTCTTTCTCAAACCCTGCCCTTGTTGAGATGGGGAGATAGAAGTCATTTTTATCTTTTCTCTTTCCCCACCCTGTAGACTTAATGGCATGAATTATATTGGGACCTTCAGTTTAATCTTGAAGTCAGTAGGTAGTGCCAGTGGGTAAAAGTTCGTCAAATCCTATGCAATGGAATGAGTAAATGCTGTGAGGACCCGTACAAGTTGACTGCCCTGTCAGTACATGTTGTTTGCAGGAGAGAGGCCACTGCACTGGGGTTTTGGGTACCTGATTTTAGCCTCAGTCAGTCATGAGAAGCATTTCAATGTCCCAGGCAATGGGTGGGGTCTTGGATCCCCCAGGGTACCCCCTCTTGTGCTGCACCACAGCTGTGGGGGAGAGGCAAGTGAGACTGGGTGGGGATGGTTTGGGACAGCATGTTCAGGCTCCACAAAGGTAGATACAAATGCGGTCTCAGCAGGGGACGAGGGTCATGTCTCAGACCGTGGAGGATAGCCACCAGTTAGGGGTTGGGGTGGTCCCACCATGCCAACAAGTCTGCTCATGTGGGAGGGGAAGTCAGGAATTCATAGTCCAGGAGATGGGAGTGGGTTTCACTCTCCTGCCACTTCCCTTGCCCCGCAGTTCTCCTCTGGCATCTGGTCACAGGCAGCAGTCCAAGCCAACTAAGTTTTCCAGCAATGCATCTGCAGGCTATAAGCTTCTTGCTTCCCTTCCCAGGACCTTGATCCTGACAGAAAACATGCCCATCTTGGGAGGGGAAGGGTACTGGGCAAATTGGCAAGTTTGCTATGGCTCAGACTCACAGTGAACTCTGCTTTTAATTCTGCCTCAGTGGGCTCCCTCCGTTCTCAGGTCAGTTCACACATCTCCACGTCCCTGAATGATGTGATTGAGTCCTGGGGGAATGGGAAAGGCCTGCAAGAGCTGGCCTTCCATCTGATGAGTCAAAACCCAAACTGTGACAGGGAGAAGCATTTTGGTCCTGAGTTGCCCATGGAGTACTCAGGGAGGATTAATGTCCTTGTAATACCCACTGTGCTGGAGCAGCCAGGCAGGGCAGGACAAGGGTCCTGCGGGAAGGGCCCTGATGCTCAGAGCACCCCTTGGACCATTGCAGTTTCGTAAGAGGAGAGGTGTGAGGCACACTATCTGTGGCATCTGGGGTATGGTGGGAACCCTGACAAAGGGGAGAGAGTTGTTCCTGATTGCCATGGCATAGCCATCCGTTGGGGTGCCCATATCAGCCCTGAGCAGGAATGGCCATGGCTGTGTCAGCAGCGGTGGGTAGGGGACGGGAGGAGGATAAGGAGGAAGAGAAGAGTCTAAAAGGAGGAGACGTGGCACTCTGGTCCCCTATGTCCCAAGGAGCCCTTCTGGCATGCTATGCTGCACTCTGACCCATAGGCAGCCTGGCTGGAATGTCCCAGTTTTGGAATCACACAGTTCACCCAGATTCACTGGCCGACTGTGGCTCCTGCTGTCTGAGTGTGTGTTGCAAAATATTTGTGGGGAAACAATGGAAAAGAAAAATAAGACACTGAGGGGCTGAAGATGCCTGGGCAGGACAAAGACACACAACAGGCACGAAAGCAGTATGGCACTGACTGCATATCCTCGGGTGTATGGTGAGGGAGAGCATCCTCCACGGTACTGGCAGCCTGGTGCTGAGTTCTCAAGAGCAGAGGGGAGCTGTCTGAAAGATTCAGAGCCTGCAGACTACCAGCGTGTTAGGGGAGGAAAACAGACATTCTGACCTTACCTTTCCATGGGCTCCCAGTTCCTTTGGGGTCTCTATCTGCCAGAATCTTGTTCCTTCTTGTTCTGCCCTGCGACGTCTTCCCATGGGATCTGTGGTGGGTTCTGGCACTCTTTCCTCAGAATTACACCTGAGCTGTGCCTTATCATCTCAAACTTTCAGCTCTTTCTCACAGGATCTGGGGCCCAGTGTCTCCAGTCAGCCATTCTGCCTATATCCGCTTTATGCTTTTCCTAGTGGAGGCTTCTAAAGATATCTTTAATGGATGATATCGTTACAAGCTACACAGTACTCTTTAGAATTGTGATTAAGCATATTTTTTCTCCAAGTAGAAATTAATGAAATGTTTCCATTTCCATTTTTCTCTCTCTGTAGCAATAAAGATTCACTTTTAGGTAGTGATAGATGACCAGGTTTAACTACTTGAATGTCTTATTTTATAGCAATAAAATTAAAGTCTACAGAAGTAGAGAAAAAAAGTAACTCTTGAGTAAATATTAGGCATTATTATTGTGGATATGCTATGAACAGAAGTGTCTGTTATATATCTCATTGTTCTGAATGTTTTCTTTTTTCTCCTTGATTTATGTTCATGATTGACTGAGAATGTCTCTTTTTTTATTTGTGTTTCTCCATGCTCCCCTACCTTTTGAAATGGTTTTAAAAACCGAAATTTTTCTTGCAGAAGACATGTCTTCAGTGTCTGTCCTTTCATTCCCTCTCTGTCTCTCTATATAGTTACAGCTTTCTATTTAGTAGCTATGTGTGCCTTTCATTCATCCATGATTGCCCAACAGTGTTTATTCCTGTTTACTTCTCTCTTTCTTGCAAAGCCCTGAGTGGATACAATCATTTATCTTTAGCATTTTGAGGAACATGATAGAAGTGACTTATACTATTTGCAATGTGAACCCTTTTGCATAAGATACTACTAAAAGCTAAACTCTCATATATTGCTGGGCAAGAGGTAATTCATACAAAGATAAATCATACGAACATTATGTCAAAATATAACACATGATTAATATAAGTTCCTTAGTGTTACTTATTTAAAAAATGCTCTAAACTATGTAGGAAAATTTTTATACTAGGTTATTCTTATTATGAAAATAATCTAATGGTTATCATAATGTTTATACAATAATGAACTGGGGGTTAGGGGAGTAATATTTTGGCTATATCTGTATGAGCTCTCATAATCCTCTACCCATGAGAAGATGTAGGTGAACAAATCAGAGAATCGAGTGACTCCACAATCTGTGGACTTTGTGTTAGATTGTATAGTAATGGTGAATATTATTCTTTTTTTTTTTTTTTTTTTGAGACAGAGTCTCGCTTTATTGCCCAGGCTAGAGTTGAGTGCCGTGGCGTCAGTCTAGCTCACAGCAACCTCAAACTCCTGGGCTCAGCTCCTCCTGCCTCAGCTCCAAGTAGCTGGGACTACAGGCATTCGCCACAATGCCGGCTAATTTTTTTTGTAATATATACTATTAGTTGCCAATTAATTTCTTTCTATTTATAGTAGAGACGGGGTCTCCACTCTTGTCAGGCTGGTTTCGAACTCCTGACCTCGAGCAATCCGCGCCGCCCTCGGCCTCCCAGAGAGTATGATTTACAGGCTGAGCCCAGCCGGGCCGGGCCTATATATATCTTAATTTACCCACTTTGATACTCATTATTCTTAAACCTATTGTTTTTGTTCTAGAATGTTCTACAACCAGGGTTAATAAAGCCAATGACTGCTTCTCAGCAACCCATGAAAATGGGTAAGCTATTTGAAGAATTTCTATTCTTGTGTTATCTATTGTTTTTTAATTAAAAATATTTTCATATGCTCTTTATTTTTATGGTAGTACAAGCAAAATGTATTAGGAGAACAGATGATGGAACCTTCTTTGAGGACAGTATTTTTAATCATCCACATGTGGTTCAAAGCTTTCCTACATCATCAGTCGAAGTACAGGGCTTTCATAATACTTCCATTGAACCACCTGGCCCTGGTGTGAAAGCTTTCTTCAAGTCTTCAACTAAGGAAGGTTGTACAGAGGTTAGTTTAAACAACAACAACAACAAAACCCCCTTCTTTTATCCATGCTTTTTTCACATACCACCCCCTGATCCTCATCATGCTGACAAGGATTGTGGAAATGTACATCCTCAAGATCATAATAGAAAGCAGCGTAATCATGAGAGAGAGATATGTACAGGATTGAGATTTCTAAAGTTTGGTTGGGAGTAAAGAATTCTTTGAGTTGCCATTATGTTAGCAGAGAATTAGAAAGCAAGCCAAAAGGACTGCTCAACAGACATGTAGATGAGAAAGGGATGAAGGGGAAGAATTCATGTGAGAAGGGCAAGATAAATAGAATGATTGAATAAGAGAGTCAAGGTGACAGATTATTATAAAAACACCACAGCAATAGTGGAGTTAATGAGAGCAGGAACTCTCCATATTATAAAATTTGATGGAAATTCTTTTAAATTTGAGAAAAGAAAGTTTGAGAAAAAGAAAGTTGAGAAAAGAATTGAGAAAAGAAGGCATTAGGCAAATTGAGAAAAGAAAGTTAGTGCAAAAGATGCTCATATTATTCAGAATGGCATATACTTGATTTCAATGAAGAAATGAAAGACAATTTGAAAATGATTAAGGTGATGGATATCCCAATTATCTTGTATGATTCCATTAATATGAATGTGTCAAATTATCACAAGTATGCCCCATATATGTACATCTAGTATGCATCAATTAAAAGCAACTTAGAAAGGAAAGAATTTAAACATTATTTCTGTTAAATTTAGAAAAGTTATGTCTTAATCTGAATCTAGTAAAACCTATGTTGTAGATAATACCAAGTGACATCTATCTTGGGGCTTGTCAGATTTTATTTTATTTTATTTTATTTTTTTTGAGACAGAGTCTCACATTGTTGCCCAGGCTAGAGTGAGTGCCGTGGTGTCAGCCTAGCTTACAGCAACCTCAAACTCCTGGGCTCAAGCAATCCTTCTGCCTCAGCCTCCTGAATTGCTGGGACTATAGGCATGCGCCACCATGCCCGGCTAATTATTTTGTATATATATATTTTAGTTGGTCAATTAATTTCTTTCTATTTTTAGTAGAGACGGGGTCTCGCTCAGGCTGGTTTCGAACTCCTGACCTCGAGCAATCTGCCTGCCTTGGCCTCCCAGAGTGCTAGGATTACAGGCGTGAGCCACCTCGCCTGGTCTGTCAGATTTTTTTTTTATTTTTTTTTTATTTTGGCATATTATGGGGGTACAGATTTTAAGGTTTCAATAAATGCCCATTTCCCCCCCTCCCCCCTCTGTCAGATTTTTTAATGAATTATTAAGTTTAGACTCTTGTTTCTTGCTTAAGGTTTCTAACTTAGTATTTTGTCTATCCATGACTTACCTAAGTAATATATCTTACTGTTTAATATAATCCTGGGAGCTGTTTTAGATCTTTCAGAGAATAAGGAGAGAGAAACAAATAAGCCTTTTATGGGATCTTTTTATTAATTAAAATTACAGTGTCAGGTTATACAAGGGAGATTCCGAATCTTTATCAAAGATGAGAGAAAAAGTTTGAGCCACAACGCTCTTAGAGAAATAAATGCAGCAATTATTTATTTCTGGAGCTATTCTCGTTGATCTTATGCTAATAATATCTGTATGTAAAGGCCACCTGTATGTACACATGCCACATGAACTTAAGCATAACTGGTGACTCTTTTCTCACTTAAACTACTTATCATAGAGACATGATAAAGCAGTGGTTTCCAATGGAATACACAAAATCATCTCTAGGTGATGGTTTTTTACTTTTCAAAATATCTCCAGCCAAGGGGACCCTTTAAATTATTCTCAGGAAGCTTTATGAACTTTACTATTTATAGTTTTTTGACCTGGCCCATGGATTGATTCATCTCTTAAACTCAGAAATCCTTTACACTTCAGTCTGTTTCTTCTGTCTTCCTATGAATATTGGGTCCTCCTTTCTCTGTTTCTCCCACAATATTGCCCTTGATTTGGCAGACCCAGTAAATGTTTATTGTCTCACTGACTGAGTGGGTCAGTGAGTGAGAATACATACAATGTGTTCTGAAGTCATTTTTGTTTTTTATAGGAGGAGAGAGCAAAGCCAGGCACTGCAAAAAAGGAAAATGGTATTGGCATTATTGAAAATGCTTCACAAGAGCAAAAAAATTATGTCAATTTTACTGTACTGTACAAAAATAGCATAAGTGGTAAGTTAGCCAATATTTCTGAGATTTTTCCATGCCTAAATACTGTTACAAAGACACCAGTTAAAGTATGTGGTTCCAAATGTCGCGACCATTTCCTTTAATTATTTTTCATTTCCTGTTTTCTTTCATACAACTTATCTTTTGTTCTTTATTCTGCATCAATCCTGAAATACTTTTTGCTATTAATTATTAGATGGAAATAAAAAATGAATGGCAATAGACTTGTGTATGTATTTGAAATATACAGTAAAACATGTTCTCATAAATGACTCTGTGAATGACATTTTACAGATAAGATGTCGGCATTAGGCTCTCCACAAAAGGAAGATGAAGAATCACCTTGGGATTCAGATGAAGAGGTACTGTGTATTGTTGTTGTGCTGTTAAAACCTAAGCATTGGGTGATGTTAAAACCGAAAAAGGGACGGTCTGATGTAACGTTCTGACCTGTGCATATGCATATAAGGAATTATTGTCTTACAATTTTTAGCTTGTAGTTAGGAAAATAATTGTGTGCTAAGTATATTACAGCTGTATAGTGTAATTCTGCTAGTTTGCTGCATTTGTTTAAGAAACCATTAAAGTGTAGTGTAAAAAATAAGGCTTAGAAGTGAGAAAGAATCAATTTTGGCTGTGAAGTATGTTGACCTACAAGCTCAAGAATTATTGCGGGTCAACCTGTGGCCAAATGTAAAATTGTGTGGTACAACTTGACTTGTCAAAGGTCTAATGAAATTCAAAAAGAAACAATTTGGACTATAATTTTTAGCAAGCTGGAACTAAAAATGATAGTGCCTAAAACCTGAAGATTTTAATATATTTCTATTGTCAAGTAAAGATGTTGAGGAAACAAGACATGGAGAAGTATGGGAATAGTAAATATGTAAGAGTATAATACCAACAATTCTATTTAGTGATATTTTGATGAGTAGAATTTGTTTTCAAAAATAAAATGCACTGAATATATTTGTGGCTGCTGTGCTTTCACAAGGGTAGGTAGAACAATGTATAGTAAGGGAACAACTGTGGAAAGAGATTTGCAGGGCCTTTTAGATAGAAGCAGCTGCTGCACAGTGGTACCAGGACAGAGCAGATGTCAGATGACATGTTAGTATTCTGGTTATATCACTGATTACAATAGGCATGGAATCTGCAGGCACTGACAGGGCTGTGCCAGCAGTGGTGGACGGAAGAGGAAGGAGCAGCAAGGAGAGAAGAGTCTAAAAGAATGAGACCTGTTATTCTTGAACCCTATGTCCCAAAGAGCCCTTCTGGGATTCAGTGCTATCCTCTCAGATGTAGGCAACTTGCCCAGAATGTGCCAGCTATGAGATCGCTCAGGTCTCCAAGGATTCACTGGTCCCCTGTGGCTGCTGCAGTCTGACTGGACTGTGCAGAATGTTTGTGTTCATTCCAGTGAAATGAAAAACTAAAGGGCCAAAGCTCCCTGAGGAGGACAAAGTTACACAATGGGTGCAAAAGCAGTATTGTGGCCACCAAATGGGATCCGTGCTGTGGTGAGGGAGAAGGACCTCCAGGGTGCCAGCAGCCTTGTGCTCTGTGCTGGAGAAGCTCCCAGTTCCCTGAGGACAGCAGCGCTTAGGTTCTGGAGGGTAGAGAAGCTGTCTGACAGTTTGAGAGCCTGCAGATTGCTAGCGGTGTGAGTGGAAGAAAGCTAACCTCCCCACCTTACCTTTCCATGGGACTTCCAATTCCTCTGGGGTGGGTCACTGTCTGGCAGAATCTTGCTCCTTCTTGTTCTGCCCTGTGACGTCTTCCCATGGGATCTGTGGCGGGTTCCAGCACTCTTTCCTCAGAATGACACCTGGGGTGTGCCTTGTCATCCAGAACTTTCTGGTCTTTCTCTTGAAATCTAGTGCCAGATGTCTCTAGTCAGCTATTCTGCCTGTATCCCCTCTATGTTGTTTCTAGTGAGGGTTTCTAAAGATATCTTTAATGGATCATGTCATTACAAGCCACACATGACTGTTTAGAATTTTGATTACCCATTTTTCCTCAAGGCTGAAATCGATGGAATATTTTTCTTTCCATTTTTCTTACTCAGCTTTCAGGTAGTGGTAGGTGACCATGTTTCACTACTTGAATGTGTCATTTTATAGGAGTAAAAGTCTATGGAAGTGGAGACAAAAAGTAACTGTTGAGTAGAAGACAGCATTATTATAGATGTGCTATGAACATGAATGTCTGTTTCATATCCTACTGTTTTGAATGTCTTTTCTTTTCTTCCTTGATTTATATTCATAAACCATAGACTGGGAATGTCTCTTCTTTTTGTTTGTGTGTTTCTCCATGCTCCCCCACCTTGTGAAATGCTTTTACTTCCACTTAAATTTTTCTTGCAGAAGACATTTCTTCAGTGTCTGTCCTTTCATTCCCTCTCTGTCTCCATATTTAGTTACAGCTTTCTATTTAGTAGCTATGTGTGCATTTTATTCATCCATGATTGCCCAAGAGGGTTTATTCCTATTTATTTCTCTCTTTTGTGTAAAGCCCTGAGTGGATACAATCATGTGTCTTTAGCTTTTTGACAAACACAAGAGAAGTGACTTTAAGTATCTGCAAGGTCCACCCTTTTTCATTAGGTACTACTGCCAACTAAACTCCCACATATTCCCAGACAAGCGATAATTTCATGGAAATATAAATCCTGTGAACACATTGCAAAATATAACACATAATTAATGTAAGTTCCTTAATGTTACTTATTTCAAGAATGCTGTAAACTACCTGGGAAAATATTTGTCCTAGGTTATTCTTGTTATGAAAAGAATCTAATGGATATCATAATGTTTGCATAATAATGAACTAGCAATAAGGGGAGTGATGTTTTGAAGATGTCTGTATGAGCTCTCCTAATCCTTTCCCCCTGAGAAGATGTAGGTCTGTAAATCAGAGAATTGAGGGGTGAGTAAAACCTGTGTCATAGATCATGTAAGGTGATATCTCTTTAAGGCTAGTGAGATTTTTTAATCAATTATTAAGTTTTGACTCTTCTGTTTCTTGCTTTCAGTTTCTAACTTAACATTCGGCCTGTCCATAACTTACCTAGGTCATTTATCTTATTGTTTGATATAATCTTGGCAGCTGTTTTAGTTCTTTTGGAAAATAAGGAGAGAGAAATAAATAAGCCTTTCATTGGATCTTTTTATTAATTAAAAGGAAAACGTGAGGTTATATAAAGGCGGTTCTCAATCTGTTTTGATGAAATGAAGGCAGAAATTTTGAGCCGCAGCCCTCTTAGAAAAATACATGCAGCGATTACTTCTTTTTTTTTTTTGACAATCTTTTCCTTTATTATGAGAACAAAGTTTATAGTGTTCATTGCCCAAATAGTTTCACATCATTACATAATAATTTCTTTTATCATTTAATCTGTATCATTTTTCAAAGTTATTATATATTTCAGTTCACTAAAGTTACATAAAACAGTGGAAATGAAAGAGGATTAAAAAAATCACCCAATTATTTTAAGTTTATATTCATTCTTTTTTTTTTTTCAGCATATTGTGGGGGAACAGATTTTAAGGTTTCAATAAATGGCCTTCCCCCTCCCCAAGTCTGAGTTTCCAGCATGACCATCCCCCAGATAGTGCACATCTTACTCCTTATGTATATGTATACTCGCCCCCTTCCCCCTTCCCCAATACCCTATTACTGTAGTACCTATGTGTCCACTTAGGTGCTACTCAGTTAATACCAGTTTGCTGGAGAATATACTGGTCTGCTCTTGCTTTTTCATTCCTTGGGATACTTCACTTAGTAGTCATGGGTTCCAGCTCTAACCAGGAAATATAAGATGTACTAATCACCGTTGTATTTTCTTAGAGCTGAATAGTACTCCATGGTATACATATCCGGACATTTTATTAATCCATTCTTGATTGATGGCACTTGAGCTGTTTCCCAGCCTTGCAATTATGAATTGTGCTCGGTATAAACATTCGAGTGCAGGTGTCTTTTTGTACGAGTGTCATTGGATCCTTTGGGTAGATGCCCAGCAATGGGATTGCTGGATCAAATGGTAGATTCACTTGTATCACTTTAAGGTATCTCATATTGCTTTCCACAGAGGTTGAACTAGTTTGCAGTCCCACAGCAGTGTAGGAGTGTTCCTCTCTTCGCATCCACGCCAGCATTTCTTATTTGGAGACTTTTTGATAAAGGCCTCTCACTGGAGTTAAGTGATATTCCTGTCAGTTTGATTTCATTTCCCTGATTGATCTAGAGATGATGCATTTTTCTTGCTTGTTGGCCTTCTTCTGTTTCTTCTGGAAAAGTTTCTGTCAGTCCTTTTGCCCATTTTTATAGGTTATTTGATTTCTTCTTGCTGCTTTTGTGCGTTCTGTTACTCTACGTTATCAGCTTTTAGATACGTAGATGCAATTTCTATCTCTGTCGGTTGTCTGTTTACTTTCATGACTACTTTCTTTGGCTGTGCAGAAAGCCGTTTGCTTTCTCTCTGCCCATTTATTTATTTTTGCTCTGCTCGCTTCTGATCTGCTTCTGGGCGTTATTAAACTCTTTGCCTAGGCCTATGTCTATAGGAGTGTTTCACATTTTCCTGACTTTAAAGTTTCATACCTTGTTTAAGTCTGTTATCAGCGTGGAGTTGATTTTGTGAAGGTGAAAGGTGTGGTCCTGCTTTTAGCTTCTACAAGTGGCTATCCAGTTTTCCAGCACCCATTTATTGAAAAGGGATTTTTTCCCCAGCATCATGTTTTTTGTTGCTTTGTCACAGATTAGATGGCTATATGGGATGGTGTTATATCAGATTCTCATGAGCGTGTTCCACTGGTCAATATTCTATTTTTGGCCAATACCCAGATTGTTTTTAATTACTACCAGCTTTGTAGTATAGTTTGGATATGTGGCATACTTAATACCGTCCCATTTTGTTTTTGTTGCTAGAATTGCTGTTGATATTCACGGGTCTTCTTTGGTTCCATACAAAGCGTGAAAATTATTTTTCTATTTGTGAAGTGGAATCCTGTGGGATTTTAATAGGTATTGCATTGCAATCTGTAGATCAGTTTGAGTAGTATAAGAATTTAATGATGTTGAGTCTGCTCGATCACGAGCATGGTTAATGGATTTCATCTGTTTCATCCCTCTGCTATTCCTTCCTTTGTTTCATAGTTCTCACGTAGACGGTCTTTACCTCCTTGGTTAAGTATAAACTCTAGGACTTTAATTCTTGTTGCTGATTGTGAAGGTAATTGAATTTTATTCTGGTTCTCAATTTGATTGTTGTTGGCGTATTCTAATGCCTCTGCTTCTCTGTGTTTGATTTTGTATCCTGAGACTTTACTGAAACTTCATTATCATTCCAAGGGAGTTT